ATTTAATTTTTTTTATAATTATTGTCTTATTTTACAATTTTCAAAGACAAACATATAAACAAGATAAATCGTCTATCATTATAAAATTTTAAATGAATTGATTTTAATTTAATAATTTTTTTGTAATTATCGTCTTATTTTATGATTTTCATTTATGAAAATATAAACAAGACAAGTCGTCGATAATAAAAAATTTTAAATTTACATTACTTGGTTTTAAATATTTTAAGATTGTCAAAAAAAAGAACCGTGCTTAAAATATGATAAAAGAAAAAGATAATAGCGAAAACATTTCGAACGAAATTGGTTGTTTTTTATGATTTTCTCTGAAAAGCCTTTAAACCATTTCATGATTTTTAAAAAGTCAAAAGCGAGTTAGGTCAAAATCTCAAAGGAAAGCTCAGGCGAAGGTTCGCAGCGGTCGTATTGGTCTGCCCCTATACTGGGCGTAGGCGCCTCCCCTTCTGCGCTGATAGGTACGAACTGTGAGGTGGCAGTGGATGAAGAGCACGGTCAGCATAAAAAATAGCGCCAAAAAGAAGATGCTAAAGCTGGCGAGAAAAGGTAGCATAAGCTTTGAGTTTTGAAGTTTTTTATTTTTTTTTTTTGAATTTATTTTAAATATTAATATTTTGTGTATTTATTTATGCTAATAGACTCTCGTTAAATAAATATTTACCGATTGTTGTGGCTTTTTTCGTCGCCAATTAATTGAAAAATGTTTTATTTTTTGTATCTTTCGTAGTTACTGTTTTGCCGGAGAGTTGCCAACTTGAAGTTTTTACAAGTTGGAAATTAGTTAATTTGAAGAAGCGTGAATATGAAAGAAGTCAAGGCGCAAACAATTAAAAATATAATTCGAATTTAAAAAAAATTATTTAAGTTATTTAAATTAATTATATGTTAAAAAAAGTTTGTTAAAAAAATTTAAAAATTTCTCATAAAAAAATTTTAAGAAAACTAAAGAAGCAGAAAATCGATTGAGTTAAAAAAAAAGTTAATTGTTGCTTTAATGGATAACAAGTATTTCAAACATTTTTTAAGAAATTAGAAAAAATATTTAATTCCGAAAAAAGTAGTTAATTATTTAAGGAAAATCATTTAAACTATTTTCTAATTAATTCTTCATAATTTCTTTTTCATTATTTTGAAGTAGTAATAATATAATTACATTTCATTAGTTTACTAAAAAATTTAAAAAAATTAAAAATTATTATATTTCAAGAAATTAATTAAGCACTTTTAAGTAATTTATAAATTTCTATACAAATTATAAAAGCGCTAGTTTCATGAAGATCTAAGAAAGTTCTGCGTCAAAGATTTCGGCTCAGGCACTTGCATGTCGTCGTAAAATCGCAATTATATACTCTAGTGCATTTTTATACTTTATAAATAAATATAAAATATAAAAGCACACAGTTTATAACTTAGAACGACAACTAATAATTATCCGCATCCGCGTTTAGACCGCAGGGGCTTCGGCAAACTGCAGCTCCTCCACTGGCCCGCCCAGCCGCACATTCATCTGCGGGTGTGCGCGACTGACCAACTCGTTTACGCTCACCACCAATAGCGCTGGGCCGTTGCGCTGTTGGTCGGCCTGATTTGGAATTTGCCGAAACGGTTGCATCTCGACTACATCCGGATGCACCAAATTTTGTTCACCCGACGACCTACGTATAACCATGCAAATGAAGCAGATAATGATAACCACGATGATAACCACCACTATAAAAGTAATTAATTCGATCAACATTTCCATTTTTCCKGCCTTTTATTATTATTATTTTTTTCTTTCGAGTTTAAATTTAAGCCTGCACCCTCTGCACTCTTTCCTTGTTGTTATTATTGTACAGTTTGCTTAACGCTTCTGTGTTGTTTTGGTATGCTTTTTCGCTACGAAAAAGGTTACCAACTAACACCGCAAAATATATTGGTTCATACGAGTAGATTTGGTCAGTGGCGACATAACCTCAAAGTAATGAACGAGTTAGCTCGTTCTGATAAATGAAATGGCAAAAATCAGATTAGCCATATTTCATGACACTTGACACCAGATCCGGCAGTATTCGTAAGAAATGATCCTGGAGCCAAATAATGTGCTTTTTGATCTTTGTTTGAGTAGAAACCCGAAAAATAGTTATGCAGATTTCGATTTCGAAAAATTTGTCAGATGAATGCTTCCGAACGAAATTCATGTAATAAAAAAAAACCGACAGATGTCACCAAGGTCAATATTTAGATAAAATTTTAGTTTAATAGTCGAAATTCGTCGGAAAATAATATATATGCTATTCTTTGCTTTGAAATTTTCAAAATCAATTTTTTGGAATTTAAAAGCTTACGAATGTTTTTTTTTTTTGGATTATAGACATGTATGTAAACCTACAAATGTCTTGAAAAAGATTTGTTATTTGCAATTTCCGTTTTTAGAAAATTGAATCGTGTTTAATACTGTCCGGTTTTCAAAATTAAGTTTTCGAACTTTGATTTGGGACAGAAGTCATCAATGGCTGGAACCGAGATTTGCATCATCGGATTGCGGTAAGGTGAGATGACGGAGACTTTTTTGCGTGGCGGGTCACAAACCCAGCACTCAACCCTGAGGCAGAATTGTTCACCTTCTCACTTTGGCCTTCAAACGGACGTTCTTAGGCCACCCAGAGGATACTTGGTCTAATATCGGAAGTCGTGAGCTGCTTGAGCCATATTTAAAATATAAGAATCGTTTCTGGCCACTCCCAAGTGAATGACGGTCAGAGAACTTTGACTCCATCCGTAAAGAGCGAGTGGAGAGTTAATTATAATATTTCAGCTTCAAGGCAATAATAATTGCAGACGAATAACTTTTATAGTTTATAGATAAATATAAAGAATTAAAATATACCAAAATTTATTAAAAATAAAATTAAAATTTATGTAATTAGGATATAAATCAACAGTTTTTCATTAAATTACAAATAAAAACCTTCTCCCCGGCTATCATCGGAATAATCACTAGAGGATAAATCATTGTAGTGTATAGTATGTGGCCGCCTGCGTATATAGGTCGATTCGTCGCTCCGATCTGAGCTGCTATCATCGTTATTATCCTGCAATGGTCCTTTCTCTAAATCCTGCACTGTTGCAAATAGCCTCACACGGAAACAATTTAATAACATCGCTATACCAAGTGCCAGCATTACATAAGGATAGAAGACTAGAATTAGTGATAACATTTTTTTCATCGGATTTTCAAGCTTATTTTGCTTGGCACTTCTATTCGTTAAACTGCTTCTGAATATATATTTATAGAAGAAAATATATTTATTTAAGTGTCTTTTAGCACAAGTCACTAGTTTTGCTTTAGTTTGTTGCAGTTCTTGAGACAGGCGTCAAAAGCAGCAGTAATAGTTTTTGCATTTTCTTTCAATACGCTCTCTTCGTAACACAGGTATGCATAAGAACGTAACCAAATCTTTTACTTATTTTTGCACATTTTAAAAACTTTTTTAATTTTTTAGCAAGTCTTTAAAAATTTCCTATAATTTTATAGCAAGTTTTTAAAACTTTCTTATAATATTATGGAAAGATTATCACTAATTTCAGCATATATAATTGGACTTCGTATTTCTGCTGAAAATTTCGAGAGTTTACTATATTTTACTATAATTTTATGTTTGCTATAATTTTTATAGCAACTTAAATATACCGACCAATGATATTTACAACCGCGAATGCCAACTTATCAAGGTATAAATATTATTTCAATTGAAGAGTAAATAATAACAGGTTCGACTATGTTACTTCACATTTATTATTTTTAATTTAATCTGTAGCAACATGTTGCAAGAGTATTAAAATCTCACGATCGAACTAAAAAAGTCAGAATTTTCCCATAATATGGTAATATACCCTTTATAAATCACAATATGTAAATATCCTACAAATTTATATCAAGTTTTTCAATGTTTCTTATAATTTTGTGGCAAGTTTATATGCAGCATTTTTGGCAATTACTCATTTTAAAATGTTTAAATTTATATTTGTTATAATTTTTATAGTAGAATTACTTGTACTATAAATTATATTTAGCTGCGGCATAAATAGTTATACTATGTACAAAAATTTCCAATTTTTTTTACAACAATTTTTGTGCTATAATTTTATAGCGTCTTCATAAGAGAAATTCGATTGCACCGAAGCTGTAATATCCTTCACAAATACCATACATTCATACATCTTACTAGAATGTTTATCGGTAAGTTTGTTTGCCAGCTCGATCTAGACTACCTAGACTTCGAAAATTACTCTGTTGACTAGGACAATAACCAACGCCAAATTTGACTTGATTCTACGGTGATCCCATATCGGCGATTCTAACAAATACGGTAGGACCCTCTTTGCATTAATAATTTTAAAGCAGATCGTAAGAGAGCGCATGAAAAAAAAACATAAGAGGAGAGGTGAGAGCGTAGTACAAAGAAGGGATAACATAAAAGACGAATAACTTTCACTTACTCTTAACAGAAAATTGAAGAGACCACGAAAATCCGCAATTTCTCTCTGTGAAAGTATATTGTCCTAAACCTTAGGCAAACTTGTTTAGTAAAAATATTGGAAGCATCACTTCTGTGGAATTATCTTATGTATGAATGATTGAGGAATACGTATTGTATAATTTTATATTTTCTCATTTATTTTTTAAGTAAATTAATTAATTTATACATTAATATAGATTAAAAATTGCTTGCTTATAAACGAGTTTCTAATTGACTAAAATATAATTTGTATGTAATTTTACAGAATTTATCGCTGAAGCTTGCCGTCAATTTATCAACAAAACTTCAACAAATTACTATTTTATAATTTATAAATTAAAATAAATAATAAAAGTAAAATGTAAAGTTTATACCAAAATTTGAGTAGAACATATACATAAATTGACTAAAATATAATTTGTATGTAATTTTACAGAATTTATCGCTGAAGCTTGCCGTCAATTTATCAACAAAACTTAAACAAATTACTATTTTATAATTTATAAATTAAAATAAATAATAAAAGTAAAATGTAAAGTTTATACCAAAATTTGAGTAGAACATATACATAAATATTACCAATATGGTACCTAATTTCAACGTCAACTATCGTAAACATCTCTTCCTTAAGTCCGCACATTTGTTTATAAATCAGTTTCTGCTAAGGACTCTCGTTGTTTTCTATCTCTTTGCCTTTGCTCATTTCTTTCACGGAATTGTCTTTGCAGTTCTATCTCTTCTTGCTCATGTCTTAAAGCTCTCTGCTCATAACTAAACCCTAATTGTGCACTTTCTTGATCCAAATCGACTCGGTACTCCTCTAGCCTTCTGCGTTCGAGCTCCCTTTGAGCTGATCTTTTGTCTATTTCTAGTCTAATACATAGGTAGGCCAGTACAATGATCGTGCCAATGAACACGGCAAGCATCACATACAGAAACATATACGCATGTGCCTTCAAATATTCCTTTGCCTCTTCAGATGGTTTTGGAAATTGAAAAGGCATTCTTTTATCAAATGGAGCGTTAAACATAATTTATGATTAAAGCTTTGTATAAGTTGATTGATAAAATATTTTATTTTTCAGAGGATTCTTCCACTATGTCGC